TTTTCGGACTGAGGAGTCACGGGAACACAGCCCCACGAAACGATTAACTGTCTCCGATTGTTCTGCTGACTCTCCAGACTGTTACGAACCCGATTCCATCATCGGAGCTTGGAGCAGCGACGTCAATGTCATCTGTGAGTCTGCTCCCGAAACCCCCACAAAATGGACGACGCCATCTAGAGGTGACAGGATTATACCGGCAAGAGGCGCTAGATTCCTGTCCTAGTCAGCTCGAGAGGTAGCGGGTGCTGACCTCTGGTGAGGTGGCGCCCAGAAAATCAGTGCCATCTGTTATAGGAGGAGTTGTATGTCTATGTCAGAGTACGTAAGTGATGTTTCCTAGTGTCCCAAGTACTGACCAGTGTACTGATGATGTGTCTGTATCCACAGAGTCGATGTAGAGCTGCTGTGGTACGAGGACAGTCAGTCTACCCAGGGCAGCCAATGGCTCTCTACTCCATTTTGCTTTACAGAAGCAGTAAGTCGCCGCCGGGGAAGAAGTGTGAAGTGTTTTACTGTCTGCCTGTGAAGTGGCAGTGACGGAATTCGACGTACCCGGGACTGGCTAACGGAAGAGACGACTGATAGTAAGGTGCTACGGAGGAGTGTAACCAGCGAGTTGCAAGAAGCTCCTGCCAGGGGTTCGCTACCCTTGTATTTTTACGTGAAGAGGCCCAGCAGCGCGAGGCTTCTCTGCCCGCTCCAGGCTGGAGAGTGATTGTGGACGTGCACGGAGAGCACCTAGTGAGACTGTGTTTTGGCTGGCCCGTGGCCAGGGTAGACTCGTTGGTGTTTCCCAGTACTGGTTGAGGACGGTACAGTGTGTTGAGGAAACACGGTAGCTGACAAGACTGTATCGATTGAGCATCAAATAGCGCTTAGTGTCCTATGAGAGAGACACTTGTGAACATATTAAGTGTAGTAATACTTCCTTTAGGATTATATATGAGGTGTTGGGAAAGTGATTATATGTGAATATATTGATAATGGATGAAGGGTCGTATTCAAAACACCTCCCCATTGTGTTTTACTTGCATTACCGAGCTCACTCCTTGAAAGCCACTACTAACTTGGGGCCGGATACCAGAACTTTAGTTCCACCAGCAAAGAACCCGGTTGCGATCCATTGTGGCCGTAACACAGACCACACCAGTCCGGGGAGACATAGTGACTGCCCTGGTGCAGCCGAAGTAAAAATTCACTTCCCTGTGCAAAAAACTGGACATCCCAGAAAATTAACGGATAGCAGAGTGAGAGAGACTTGGCCAACATCGGACCCACAAAACTCACCCAGTTTTTTCTTTACTGGCAGAAATGCCCACCCCGAGTTCTTTGGGTTTTGAGTGTCTCTTTACAGGTTCTCAGCTGACCCACCAGTGGAACATATGAGAAGACCCACGGCCTCAAGCAGGATTACAACCTTATCGACCGTTGCAACCTTCCTACTAGTGCCCACAGGGATAAATGGAAACAGCATAGTGTCCTTAACAAAGGACCCTACAGTCCCCATGGAGGTACACAGAAAAACCACCCGGACGCCACCTCATGGAGCGGCCCTGAACTAAGATGTGTAAACAACCCCCGCGCGCACTGGCAGTGTACAGCCAACACAGTGCTCACGCGAGGATTATACATAGCCGCCTGGATCATACAGTGCAGTGCCCACAGGTCCTGCAAACACAGCGCACGATGCAGCCCTCTCCCAGCCAGCGGCAGACGACACGCAAGGAGCGCACACTCCAGCAACGTAGGGTAAGCATAAAACTGCCAAGTCTGATGCTGACCTCCCACTTGCTAGGCTCCAAAGTGCAGCATCCTCAGAGCGGCACTGACGGGACGGGTCGACAACCGTGACTTTCCAGACGAATAGCCCCGCCTCAGAGAAATTACAGACGACCCCCGGCATACCTAACCTGCCCAGGTATCCGGGACATTCGGGGTGCCAGGGAAGTGTGGGACGATCGAGGAAAGTGAGGTTGAGTGAGTCCCCACACACACAACCCGAGCAAATGTAATGTAATGAAGATCGGTGCAGGGTGCAGGAGACCAGATACAAGGTATCACTTGGGAGATGAAATTCTTCTAGAATCAGAGAGTGAGAGAGAGAGAGACCTGGGGATTATCACACCAAACCTTTCCCCTGAACACCACATCAAGCGGATAACACCAGCGGCATATTCCAGGATGACCAACATAAGAACGGTCTTTAGAAACTTGTGTAAGAAATCATTCAGAACCTTGTCTACCACGTATGACAGACCAATCCTGGAGTATGCAGTTCCAGCATAGAGTCCATATCTCGTCAAGCATAAAACTAAATTGGAGAAGGCTCGGAGGTTTGCCGCCAGACTAGTGCCAGAACTGGGGGACATGAGCTATGACGAGCGACTACGGGAATTAGACCTCACATTGCTGGAAGACAGGAGAGTTAGAGGGGACATGATCATCACATACTAGATTCTCAAAGGAATTGATAGGGTTAACAAAGATAGTCTATTTAACACAAATGGCACACTCACTAGGGGATACAGGTGGAATTGAGTGCCCAAATGAGCTATAAATATATTATAAATAATTTTTTTAGTGTCAGAGTAGTTAATAAATGGAATGCATTAGGAAGTGATGTGATAGAGGCAGACTCCATACACAGTTTTAATTAAGTGAAGATATGATAGAGCCCAATAGGCTCAGGAACCTTTACACCTGTTGATTGACGGTTGAGAGGCGGGACCAAAGAACCAAAGCTCAATCCCCGCAAGCACAACTAAATGAGTTCACAGACACACACGCACCCTTACTCCTCCCCACACTGACCCATCCGCCTAGGTTAAGGAGACTGGACCTCAAGTAACTGGCTAACATCTGTCCTGTAACATAGTGTGAATCACTGCACAGATCCACTGTCAAACACCTGCTGGCATTGTACTTTATCCTCATCAGAATTAATTTCCCATTTAACATGTTAATAGCCAGGTATTTCTCAAATGAACAGGGTTCATATTCCCGAATTAGTACTTCATTTGTGGTAACAGATTTGAAGTCTTTCAGCCTCGGCAGGAGTCTCCCTCCCCCAAAATCTTACAGGCAGACTTTCATCCTTGGTCTGGTCACCCAACTGGCAGGAGTCAAACCAGAGTGAACTATGCTCTACAGTTAAGCACGACTGCTGGCACTTTCCCGAGTGCATTCTCCACAAGAGGGCTCGTGGGCCTCGTCCTCCACCACACGAATCTCAGGGGAAGTGCTTATGGGAAAAATGCCGGGATTGAATTATGACGAGATTACTTAGGACTTATACTGCACTAAATTTAAAATTACTGTATGTAAAAATAATACAACTAAAAGTCCTTAGCTAGGGTTATAAATCCTGCTCCTCTTGTCCTAATGACAATGGGCTGTAGGGGGCAGGTGGGACTCGAAGGGTTAATGGAGTTATTGATTAGATATCCATAATCCACCTGCAGACATTTCAACACATCAGCTTGTATTTTTATACAAGGATAAGATTAAATAACTCAGTTCTGTGACTGAACACTGGTTCTGTTCAAGATGAAGGATCTGAACAATATACACAGTCTAACCTAGCTCTGTAATTATCCCAACAGCCAATAATCACATACTAATAAACACAACAATTTATATTATACAGGTATGATATATATATATGCAATTATGCATTCAAATGACCTTAAATGTGGTCTAAGTACTAGTATCTAGGTACAAGAAATTATATTCAATATTATAAACTAATATGATAAATTAAAGATAACTAAGTTAGCAATTGTTAACTTGATGAATAAGATCAATTATATATATATATATACACATATGCAATTGACGATCACAAAACACTGATCATTTTTTGCAGAAAATCCACAGAGAAATGTGAAAGGAAGTGAACGTTTCAGCCTGATTAAAGCCGTTGTCAACACCAGACTTGTGATGCGAGTCTGGTGTTGACAACAGCTTTAATCAGGCAGAAACGTTCACTTCCTTTCACATTTCTCTGTGGATTTTCCGCATATACAGATATATTCAAATTTATATGAGAAGATTCAAGCATTGAGTAAATTCAAGCAGGAGGTAAAATATTCAGTTACTGAAAGATTAAATGAAAACTTACGGATATTTAGGATTTTGCCCCACAATATAAAGATTAACAATATATATGGACATATTAGGGTTATGTTATGATGCATGCAAATTGGCCAAATCAACATACTATAAACAACACTCAATACTCATCCAAAAATTGAGAACTGGAGCCTGTCTGACTGTTTTGCCAGAGTGTATGATCTCTCTTGAAGAGATAGGCATTTTACTTTGATATCACAGCTTTGCTGCTGTTATATTGATATCACAGCTTTGCTGCTGTTATATTGATATCACAGCTTTGCTGTTGAATATGTCCTTAGTAGCTTTGCTTTAGGATAAGATTAAGATAATGTGGCGATGAAGGCAGCGTCACTTCGTGTGCCACCCTACACTCTTATTTTGATAAAAGTACTAGGAATTTTTCCAATACAGGTATATATATAGTCCAGGAAGTTCCCCAGTATCTAAAGAGCTATGACTAGTGATATAAGATTAGTTTGTGATGCGTAAATCCTATATTAAAGGTCTTTGATACCAACATGTGCTTCCACTGTTTACAAACAAATGTTCTGGCCTCGGGCGCTCCAGTCGTGGGCGCTTGTGTTCCGAGCTGGCTCCTCCCTTCCTTAGTGAGGGTAGCCTTCAATGTATATTGATTGATTATTTTTTATTGCCTAGACAGATTATTGAGGTTAAATGTGATTATAATATAATTAGATATAGGATTTAAAGATTATAAGTAGTACTTGATAGTAGCATTGATTCTTATTTAGGATTTGATTTAATCCTCACTGGAAATTGATTGATGTTCCAATTGTTTTTTCATTAGTTAAGTTCTTCTTGAACCTTCTAGATCCTTGAGAAATCGTGCTCAAAGTCACATAGGCACATGTGAGCCCAATGGCTCACGTAATCATGGTGGCATTGTTATGTACGATCATTGTCATGGTGGCATTGTTATGTAGGATCATTGTCATGGTGGCATTGTTACGTAGGATCATTGTCGTGGTGGCATTGTTACGTAGGATCATTGTCATGGTGGCATTGTTATGTAGGATCATTGTTATGGTGGCATTGTTATGTAGGATCATTGTCATGGTGGCATTGTTATGTAGGATCATTGTCATGGTGGCATTGTTACGTAGGATCATTGTCGTGGTGGCATTGTTACGTAGGATCATTGTCATGGTGGCATTGTTATGTAGGATCATTGTCATGGTGGCATTGTTATGTAGGATCATTGTCGTGGTGGCATTGTTACGTAGGATCATTGTCATGGTGGCATTGTTATGTAGGATCATTGTCATGGTGGCATTGTTATGTAGGATCATTGTCATGGTGGCATTGTTACGTAGGATCATTGTCGTGGTGGCATTGTTACGTAGGATTATTGTCATGGTGGCATTGTTACGTAGGATCATTGTCGTGGTGGCATTGTTACGTAGGATCATTGTCATGGTGGTATTGTTATGTAGGATCATTGTCATGGTGGCATTGTTATGTAGGATCATTGTCGTGGTGGCATTGTTATGTAGGATCATTGTCATGGTGGCATTGTTATGTAGGATCATTATCGTGGTGTCATTGTTATGTAGGATCATTGTCATGGTGGCATTGTTATGTAGGATCATTGTCATGGTGGCATTGTTACGTAGGATCATTGTCATGGTAGCATTGTTACGTAGGATCATTGTCGTGGTGGCATTGTTACGTAGGATCATTGTCATGGTGGCATTGTTATGTAGGATCATTGTCATGGTGGCATTGTTATGTAGGATCATTGTCATGGTGGCATTGTTACGTAGGATCATTGTCGTGGTGGCATTGTTACGTAGGATTATTGTCATGGTGGCATTGTTACGTAGGATCATTGTCGTGGTGGCATTGTTACGTAGGATCATTGTCATGGTGGTATTGTTATGTAGGATCATTGTCATGGTGGCATTGTTACGTAGGATCATTGTCATGGTGGCATTGTTATGTAGGATCATTGTCATGGTGGCATTGTTATGTAGGATCATTGTCATGGTGGCATTGTTATGTAGAATCATTGTCATGGTGGCATTGTTATGTAGGATCATTGTCATGGTGGCATTGTTATGTAGGATCATTATCGTGGTGTCATTGTTATGTAGGATCATTGTCATGGTGGCATTGTTATGTAGGATCATTGTCATGGTGGCATTGTTACGTAGGATCATTGTCATGGTGGCATTGTTACGTAGGATCATTGTCGTGGTGGCATTGTTACGTAGGATCATTGTCATGGTGGCATTGTTATGTAGGATCATTGTCATGGTGGCATTGTTATGTAGGATCATTGTCATGGTGGCATTGTTACGTAGGATCATTGTCGTGGTGGCATTGTTACGTAGGATTATTGTCATGGTGGCATTGTTACGTAGGATCATTGTCGTGGTGGCATTGTTACGTAGGATCATTGTCATGGTGGTATTGTTATGTAGGATCATTGTCATGGTGGCATTGTTATGTAGGATCATTGTCGTGGTGGCATTGTTATGTAGGATCATTGTCGTGGTGGCATTGTTATGTAGGATCATTGTCATGGTGGCATTATAATGTAGGATCATTGTCATGGTGGCATTATAATGTAGGATCATTGTCATGGTGGCATTGTCATTGTCTGATGTGATATAGAAATAATACATTTCTTAGATAATGATATTGATATAGTGGGTAAAATTTCCCACAGTGCTGACTTCTGCTGAAGTTACGTTTAAAACTTGGTTCTGCTGTGCGACTGGCCACCATCTTGGTCAACACAGGGAGTGGTGCTCGGGGCTCCCCGGCGGCAACACACAGGGTCCCTCATGGCAAGCTAATGCCACTTCTGGAACACCTCACGATCCTGGACTCTTAACATCCAAGTCATTTTGTTCATGAGACGATCCGCCAACGGATTTTAACCCGGACCTAACAAACTTTATTTTCCCAAACCTGACATTGGCTTAGCTTCCCTAACATAAATGTAGCTAACAAAAATAGAATTTTAGAATTTATACAACGAGCAGTAGGCTAAACGCCTATGAACCGATATATAGTCACTAAAGGCTGGGGCGGCCAAACTGGCTAACTGTGAGAGCCACAGATGATGCAGCTCAGGTGTTTGAGAGTTGCACGACGTCAACACATTTTACACTTATGTTTTTATTGTTACATGTACATTTTGTCAAAGAAAATTTATCTAAATTTATCAAAAATGCATATTAAATGCAATAATTTTCAATCATGCATGAAGTTCTTAAGCTGTTAATTTGTATTAGTTTAGTATAGTAATTACAAAGACAAATATGTAAAAAAGTAAACAACAAAATTGGAGATATTTTAATCAGATTTCCACCTTATAAAATTTGTCTTATTATAATTATAATTGAATGGCAAAATACAATGGTACAAATATCAAGCCATTAATGAAGCTATTTACTGCTAGTATTCGTCTTGTGTTTCTCAATCCTAGATGGAAGTCATTTAAAATAAGTCGTACATAGGTCGTAAGACGTACTTAGGGTCCCGGTAGTACAGTCGGGTTCATTCTCGCCTCACAATAAAAAATTCCGGGTTCGAATCCCGGGCTTCCAGGTTCTAAGGACCTACTTAGAAACTTCCTAAGTAGGTTCCCAGAAGGTAGTCAGCTTGTTGTGGGGTTGCATTCTCGAGGGGTCTGTAATTCGACCTCAGTTGCCTAAGGAATATATAAGCATAACGTGTTAAAATACACTCCTGTCCTCTGACTCAATGAATTATTAATTAAATCAAAATATCGCTGATATGTTGTCAGAGCTGTGCGCTTTAGCTCCGTAAGGTGTACTCACCTAGTTGTGTTTGCGGGGGTTGAGCTCTGGCTCTTTGGTCCCGCCTCTCAACTGTCAATCAACTGGTGTACAGATTCCTGAGCCTATTGGTCTCTATCATATCTACATTTGAAACTGTGTATGGAGTCAGCCTCCACCACAACACTACTTAATGCATTCTATTTGTTAACTACTCTGACACTGAAAAAATTCTTTCTGACGTCTCTGTGGCGCATTTGGGCACTAAGTTGTTGTGCTAATAATTGTGATGAGTCGCACACTAGCTTTATTTAGTTCAGAATATTTTGTTTCTGGAACTTTTTTCCTGAATTCAATTGTAGACTTGAATTTATGGATCATCTTCAGACCCGGATCCTCCTGAAATTCCATTCCTACAGCAGATGATTCAGTAACCAGAGGCTCGGGAGTCGGACAGCCATTATTGACCACATTAACCATGAATGGATTTACAAGAAAGGCAAAGCCGGGCTTCAGCTTCTGCACGTCAACAAAGCTGACCAGGAAATTATCACGCAATCCTTGTAATTTATCTTTGTATTCTTCCAGTTTATTGTCTTTCATTTCAATATCAGGAAATGTCTTCCTGATATTCTCCCTGCCGTAGGTATTGCAACTCTTTATAGTATATTTCCTGCTCTTGATTCGGGTCGAAATTTCTAGAATATTCAAGTTCTTTAGAACTGTCCAGGAGCCGCATATTAAAGATCAAAGAGCCGCATGCGGGTGGCGAGCCACAGCTTGGCCACCCCTGTGTATACTAGCCTGGAGGTGTGGTCAAGTGGTACTGGTTCTGGTAGTGAACATCAGAGACAGTATCAGAGGAACTGAGGACGTTTTAGTTTGTTTATGTCAACTTAAGCATTAAGGACTTGAGAATGGTCCAGGACGGACCGAAACGTCATCGTCCCTTCACCTTCTAGTGTGTGGTCTGGTCAACATACTTTAGCCACGTTATTGTGACTCATCGCCTTCTTAAGCATTACAACTCCAAATATAAAGCTGACGTATATAAACCAAATAAAATACTGCAAAGATCAATTTCAAAGCACCAGTCTCCATATAATGGCAAATCCAAATGACAACAAAAACACTATAAACCGATAATAAAGATATTATAATGAACTACAAACGATAAAGTGATCAGTAAATGTAACAGAAGCAGTGAATGAGAGAGGCTGCCGCCTGAGGGGCTCCACGGCACACACCACCAGTAAGCTGAGGAAGCATAAGTTTTCCTGCTCCGGAGCAAGCTTTATCTCCAGAGGTTAAACTTAATGATCAACTGGAAGTCTCTGAGCGCCGGGGCTCAGAGACTTAGCAGTGGGGAATGTGAGAGTAAATCCTTTGGCCACATTGTGAGTGGAGGCGCACCAACCATTCCCAGTGGGTGCCTCGTGCTGCATTGCGAGGAGCAGGTGTGGTGTGGGGTCGATGTTGTGTGCTCGGACGCCCACACCTGTTGGGAGTTATGACCGTGAGCGCAGGTGAGGTGTGGAGCCGCCCCAACCCCTGAGGCAGGTTTGTCCTTCTCTTGGCGAGCATGTTACAATTAATACGACATAAAAGACAGGTGACTAATGTGTTTTGAGATAACCAAATGCATGTTTAAATGAATATTTTGTAGATTTATGAAGGGAGGTGACCCAGACTCTGAAGGACCTCACCGACCTGAGGTGCTGGAGAGTCTCCCAGGGGTAGGAGCAGCACGTCGACTGACTCTCAAGGGCAGGAGTAGCACGTCGACTGACTCTCAAGGGCAGGAGTAGCACGTCGACTGACTCTTAAGGGCAGGAGTAGCACGTCGACAGACTCTCAAGGGCAGGAGTTGCACGTCGACTGACTCTCAAGGGCAGGAGTTGCACGTCGACTGACTCTCAAGGGCAGGAGTTGCACGTCGACTGACTCTCAGGGGCAGGAGTTGCACGTCGACTGACTCTCAAGGGCAGGAGTAGCACGTCGACTGACTCTCAAGGGCAGGAGTTGCACGTCGACTGACTCTCAGGGGCAGGAGTTGCACGTCGACTGACTCTCAAGGGCAGGAATTGCACGTCGACTGACTCTCAAGGGCAGGAATTGCACGTCGACTGACTCTCAAGGGCAGGAGTTGCACGTCGACTGACTCTCAGGGGCAGGAGTTGCACATCGACTGACTCTCAGGGGCAGGAGTGTCACGTCGACTGACTCTCAAGGGCAGGAGTTGCACGTCGACTGACTCTCAGGGGCAGGAGTTGCACGTCGACTGACTCTCAAGGGCAGGAGTTGCACGTCGACTGACTCTCAGGGGCAGGAGTAGCACGTCGACTGACTCTTAAGGGCAAGAGTAGCACGTCGACAGACTCTCACGGGCAGGAGTAGTACGTCGACTGACTCTTAAGGGCAGGAGTAGCACGTCGACTGACTCTTAAGGGCAGGAGTAGCACGTCGACTGACTCTCAAGGGCAAGAGTAGCACGTCGACAGACTCTCACGGGCAGGAGTAGCACGTCGACTGACTCTTAAGGGCAGGAGTAGCACGTCGACTGACTCTCAAGGGCAAGAGTTGCACGTCGACTGACTCTCAAGGGCAGGAGCAGCACGTCGACTGACTCTCAGAGGCAGGAGTTGCACGTCGACTGACTCTCAAGGGCAAGAGTAGCACGTCGACTGACTCTCAGGGGCAGGAGTTGCACGTCGACTGACTCTCAAGGGCAGGAGCAGCACGTTGACTGACCCTCAGCTCCTGGGAGCCGCACAGGTCATGTGCAGAGATTGTCTTTAGGTGAGATCACGTGTTTGACTTAGACTACACATATGACTCAGGGGACTCAAGTGACTACACATCTGGTGTAGGAGATGAGGTCGTGACGTCCAGGAACCAGCTGCGAGACCTCCCCTCGGGGTCTGGGAGGAACCAGTTGCGAGACCTCCCCTCGTGGTCTGGGAGGAACCAGCTGCGAGACCTCCCCTCGGGGTCTGGGAGGAACCAGCTGCGAGACCTCCCCTCGGGGTCTGGGAGGAACCAGCTGCGAGACCTCCCCTCGTGGTCTGGGAGGAACCAGCTGCGAGACCTCCCCTCGGGGTCTGGGAGGAACCAGCTGCGAGACCTCCCCTCGGGGTCTGGGAGGAACCAGCTGCGAGACCTCCCCTCGGGGTCTGGGAGGAACCAGCTGCGAGACCTCCCCTCGGGGTCTGGGAGGAACCAGCTGCGACCTCCCCTCGGGGTCTGGGAGGAACCAGCTGCGAGACCTCCCCTCGGGGTCTGGGAGGAACCAGCTGCGAGACCTCCCCTCGGGGTCTGGGAGGAACCAGCTGCGAGACCTCCCCTCGTGGTCTGGGAGGAACCAGCTGCGAGACCTCCCCTCGGGGTCTGGGAGGAACCAGCTGCGAGACCTCCCCTCGGGGTCGGGTTCCCAGTACCGCTTCAGGATCCGGATTACCGCGGGTATTGGAGGGATTATCAACAGTGTCGGCAGGCGCTGGGATTACTGGGACGAACAGACGGATTTACTGCTGGCGTGGACTCTTGCGGATTATTGACATTTGTGTTGGATTGGAAAAGGAGTAGTAGTGGAAGACAGGGGTGGATAGATGAAGCTTGATAGAGGATGGGATGGAGAGAGGAGAGAGAAACGAGAGGTATGTGGGAGGGAGACTCGGAGAGGGAAGGCGGGAGGCAGAGAAACATAAGAATATAGGTAACTGCAGAAGTCCTAATAGCCCATACGAGGCAGCTCTTATTTTTAACCAACCCAATCCCACTCGTATATATGTCCAACCCACGTTTGAAACGGGGGTTGGACACCTCTACCCCAAGGA